AAAACCACGTCATGCACTCGATCTAATCGGGGCTGGACCTCATACATGAGGTCAACATGTATGTTATTGTTTGTATATCCCTCCCTTGATTTTATGTAAGCCGCCCTGAGTCCCCTCAGGGAAAAGGGCGGCCTATAAATGTTAATAAATCTCTAAATCTCTAAACAGCCCCAGGCCTGCCGGAAGAGCCAGGTTTTGGTAGCCTTTCGGAAGGCCGTGAGAGTGGGAAGGGTCCGGATCTCTGGGGGTAGTTCATTCCATAGGGTCGGAGCGGCTACAGAGAAGGCCCTCCCCCGGGGGGTTGCCAGACAACATTGTCTGGTCGACGGTACCCGGAGAAGGGCCATCCTGTGAGATCTTATCGGCCGTTGGGAGGTATTTGGACAGAAGCCAATCGTTTTTTTGTCTTTTAATGACCCTGTAAATCCCTCAGACGGGGGTTATAACTGAGTGGAGCTGAGGGCTCACTGGCCGGACGCTCTTCCTGTCGCCAGTGCAGAGTTCACAGCTAAGATTGATTCATTGTGCCCAGAGAGAGAAATCTCTACCGCTACCTAGGATTGAACTCGCAGGACTTCTGATTGGGAGGTGAGAGCCTCCACCTCTAGGCCACCGCGCCACTCTTGGACGGAAGAGCCACTGGGCCAAGCAAAAGCCCCCACCAGATAAAAGGAGGAAGCAGACGGTCGTAAAAGAGAAACAGGCCTCTTCCTGCGCTGGGCTTAAGGCTAGAAAGTGGGTGACAGTGAATTCTAGATCCGCCTTAGCCATGATAGCCGGCTAGGCGACTTTGGGCCGCTTGCTCTCTATCTCTCTCTCTCTCTCTCTGTGGGTGACAGTGAATTCTAGATCCGCCTTAGCCATGATAGCCGGCTAGGCGACTTTGGGCCGCTTGCTCTCTATCTCTCTCTCTCTCTCCGCTCAACCCACCTCACAGGGTTGTTGTGGGGAAAATAGAAGGAGAACGATGTGTTGGATATGTTCACCACCTTATTTGTAAAAATAAAGGTGAGGTGCTAAAAAATAAAATAAAGATAAAACACCCTGGGCGAGGAAACCAAAGTGGGCTTTCCCCTCCCTACTTTAGAAACAAACTGTGGTCTCACCTAATCATGGCTTGTGACATCATGTCCAGAGCGGCTGCCCCGCTGGTGTCCTTGGGCGCTGGGTCAGAGTCAAAAATGACCTGAGCGCAGGGGTTGATCCACATCTGGCAGGGAGGACAGAGAGACAATGAGAACAGCAGCTCAGAGCCTGGGGAGGGGCAGTGGGGGAGCTGTTGGCCTCCTAACCCACACAGCAGCCCCTCGGCCGGCTCTTCCCTGGAGCCCCTCGCTTTCCCCTTACCTTGAAATCAGGGAAGACTGGCATGACCTCCATTGGAGTGACACGAGGCTTGCTGTAGTGCTGAGAAATCTGGGAGGGGAGAGTTTCCCATTAGGAAGCACCCGAGAAAGAGGGAAGGCACCCACCCTTGCTAGGCCTGAAAGCTGAATGTAGGCTCAGCAAAGCTCTCTTCACACCCACCCACCCACCCAAAAAATCAGAAAGTGCATTTGAACCACCAATGCAAGGAGGATGAAAATGGCCCCGGTAAACTTCTTTTAACGGGTATCCAACATTGGCAACTTTAAAACCTGCGGGTTTCAAACTCTCAGAATTCCCCGACTTTAAGGATGGTGGACTTCATCTCCCAGAATTCATCCCGCCACCTCTGCTGGGAAATTCTGGGAACTGAAATCCACAAGTCTTACAATTTGCCAAGTTGAACTCATCCCGGTTCTATTGCTCTACAGGACTAGAAGACCTCCAAGGTCCTTTCCAACTCTGTTATTCTGCTACTTTCTCTCTTCCGCCTCTAAAACTAAAAAGGTACAACAATGAGGAAGCGAGAGAGGGAAGGAAGGGCACTCACTGACTTCTGAGCATCCTCAAACGTCTTCTCAATGGCTGCAATCTGGCTGTCTCGGTCCTTGTAGATCTCCTCCTCGGTGAACTGCTGTTTGACAGACACGCCAATTCTAACCGAAACCGAGGGGGGGGAGTTGAGAAAGGGAGTCTCAGCCAGCAGTGTAAGACAGAGGTCCCCAAACTTGGCAACTTTAAGACTTGTGGACTTCAACTCCCAGAATTCTCCAGCCAGCTATGCTGGGATTTGAGGCCCACAAGTCTTACATTTGAGGCCCACAAGCACAGCTGGCTGGAGAATTCTGGAACTTGAAGTCCACAAGTATAAGTACAAGTCTCAGTACAAGCAGGCTCACACCAGACTGTTTCTTTGCTGGTGCATCGCTGGATGGAAATAAATAATGGCGGAATAACCCAAATGCCGTGTCTACTCACTTGACCTCTGGCTTCTCATTGGAGACACCGTAGCGGTTGAACTCGGTGGAGATGTACTCGGTCTTCCGCATCCATGGCACCACTTTGGCATGCTGCTGTGACCTGAAGAGAAAAACAACAATAACAAAATAGTCCACCTGGATTTCTGCTCCTCTCCAGAGTTGCCTTCCCCAAAGCCCACTTGGCTAAAATCCAATTATTCCCAGCCAGCGCAGGAATGACAGCTCCTCCACACACACTGACTAGCATTACAAAAAGCACAAGTCGTTTGGGCCCTTGACTTAAATAAGCGTCAGGATTCCTTGGCACGGAAGTATAATTTCTTCGAAAAAGAACCTGGTCTAACTACTGGCTCCTACATAAAGTCAGTCCAACATTATTCCAAACCAGCGTATCAGTCTCAATCTTGAGCGCACTGCACAATCTGTATTTATGACTAAAATTTCTATGGCCGCTCAATTCACTCCCGGTGAATTACAACAACAAAACCGCAATGTAGCAAATGCTGAGAGAGAGAACATTTATTCCCTCCAAAGCAGCTACGATGCTCAGTGTAGGAGAAAAAGAGGCAGAACCTGGGGCTGGAGTCAAGAGAGGAATCAGCCTGGAGCCCTCAGGTTGCCACAAACAGTGTCTCCAACTGCTCTTGAATTCCATTCAATCTTACCTAGCACCAATTTAGTGCTGATCCTTAATTGACTAGATTCTTGCATAACTCAGCTTAACTGGAACTTAATGCGGTCTTCATTCTTCACACTTGACAGTTAAATGTATGTATATGTATGCATAGCCAGAGTTGCTTCGGACAGTGAGATGGGTGGTATATTAACCAACAAGTGTGTGTGTGAGAGAGAGGGAGCAGAGCAGATGCCAATATGGTGAGGCTGAGGAGAGTGGCAGAGATTTGAGGCAGATGCTAAAGTCCAGAGAGCTTAGGGACCCTCCCACAAAGAAGGAGATCGCTTAAACAAGCCACGCTACAAAGGGCAACTGCAAGGAACTTTGAACGATCTGATGCTGGGGTGGGAGACAAAGAGGCCTCTGGAGGAAGAACGGGGGCAGCAGACCCTGCAGCAAGACCAGCAGAAGGGGGCTGTGGAGTGTGAGGAATTGCACTACCTCTTGGAACTGGTGGGTGCCTGGATCTCCTCCTCCAGCAGTTTCTCATCCGCAGGATCTAAAAGAACTAAAAGACGACAAACGTGGTCACAGGTTGGTCCCCTCCACTAAGGGCGCTCGGAGAGCTCTGCAAAATCCGGCCTCTTTGCGTTATGTA